GGGGTGCTAATACCTTCCCCTCACGTAACCGACTCCCGAACCCGGAACTTGGTTGCGACAACCCTGTTCCTATCCTTTCGTTTTAAGAGGTTTTCTCGATATTTTCCTCTCCCGTTTATTCGGGAAAAATAAAGTTCGGTGGCGACTCTGTCGAACCGCATTTCCGCGCCTTTCGTGCGAGGGTCGTATGTTTGAATGAATTTTCGAGGTGTGACAGGTACCGACTCATTTCAACAGGTTCAATTGAAGAACCAAATGGAATCATCGCTCGTTACCGAAGTAACTCCCCGTCGGGCCTACGATGTTCACCCATCGCTCACACCCCACATGGGCACACGATGTTTCAGGATTGCTCACACCCCACACGGGCACACAATCCGATTGCTCACACCCCACACGGGCACACAATCCGATTGCTCACACCCCACACAGGCACACAATCATTCTGTAGATTCACTACGGAATCAATCAACACAAGAATGCACACCATGATGCTTCACATACAACATGACTCATGACACTCTTGAAATGCACACATGTTTACAAACACACTCATGCATTCTTCACATTTATCGCATATATTCATTTATACATTTAAAATATATGTATCACAAAACATAAATATTCATCATTCATTCACACCATTCAAACATGGCTAACATTCACAATCAATTCCTCATGCATTTCTATTCAAACTAAGCAAATGCACAAAATTGCCAACTGGCCACACTTATGCTTCACAAACCATAAACTAGGATTCACGCCATACGGCTACCTACAGCACATCACAAATCAGCACACAAGCTATTAAACCAAAGAAGGGTCGATCGCCACCAAAACCCCAAGCCACAACAACAGGGAAAACCCATCCTGCTACGTTCGCTACACGCTCGCCTAGCGAGCTGCTAGCGAGCGTTCTCCACTTGCTCGCCTAGCGAACTGCTAGCGAGCACAAACAGAAGCTCCAGACTTCGTTCGCTACCTCGTTCGCCACAGCGAACCTCCAGCGAGCTCCTTGCTACTCCCTTCGCTGCAAGCGAAGGACATCAAAACCATTTTGTCCCAAGTCTGGGACCGTTCGCTGCGCACTCGCCTAGCAAACTGCCAGCGAACACTCGCGACCTGCTCGCCTAGCGAGCTGCTAGCGAGCGTCTGCGGTTTCCACTTCTCCCCACTGTTCAGAATCCAAAACCACCGATAAAATAACCCGATGAACTCCAACTCATATCCAGTAGCCTTAGTATAACATATATCAACTAATCTACGTCATCTAATCACGATTCTAACTGTTAAACAACGATTTCTATCGATTAAACCAATTTCGACCTAAAATGGAAAGTGTAGAAAATTACCAATCAATCCAAAACAATCCAACAAAAATCATACATGATTATACACATTGATATAATAATAAGGTTTCACACCCTTACCTGATTGATTGAAGCTTGGAAGTTGTTTCTTGATGAATTTCTAGGTTTTTCTCCATTTCTCCTCTTTCTCTTCTCCTTTCTTCTTTCCTTCCTTTTTCTTTCTATCTCATTTCTTTTCTCTCTAATTCTCACTTATACCTCTTTCTATTCTATTCTATTTCTCCTCAAAATACCTCTTAAAACATTTTCTCACAAAATACCCCACTTAATATAAAATACTAAATGTCTAAAATACCTTTTAATCTATTTTCCCCGAAAACTCTCTGAATCAGTAAAATAGCACAAAAAGCAATTAAACGTATCGACACATAAATTCCATAATTAAAATAACATTCATCCAAATAAATCAAAAATGACTCAAACAAATAGGGAAATTCAGAATCGGGGCGTTACATAAATGGTGGTGGAGACGGAGGTGTCAGCTCATTCTGAGACGACAAAGGTGTCAGAGGTGCCCCATCCTTTTAAGACAGAGGCGCACACTACAGATGATATCAAGGTTACTCCTCCGACTAAGATAGAGGTTATTGTTCTAGCTTCAACAGATTCGTCTATACACACGGATGAAGGGTTTCCTGGAAGGTCCGGTGACTATTAGGTGCTCACTGGATATACCGATCATGTGGTATTTAGATTATGTCATGGAAAGGAATGTATATGATTTGTTAATGATGTGACTTTATTTATTATTGATACTTGAAAATAATTGATGTTTTTACTTTGTTTGTTACAGGACCGACTACCGCTGAAGGTGTCCCACCCACCGGGGAAACTGAAGAAGTTATTAGATATCCTGGTGTTAGGGAGGTCAGAGTGATTGTTGATGATTATGTTCTCCTTCCACTTGTGGTTTATTCACTGACCATGCTTGACGATTAGTTATTAATAACCTTTGTTGAGCAATGGTATAAGGAAACATCTTCCTTCTATCTTTCATTTGGTGAAATGATGATTACCTTGGATGATGTCTCATTTTTGTTCCATCTTCGTCTGGCAGATAGTTTCTCCATCGCTCCTCTCATTAGTCAGGAGCTTGCAAGTATTATAGTGTATAGGACTTAGGGGTTACTGATGAGCATGTGATAGAGGAGTTTACGACTAACAAGGGTGCTCACTTTTGCCTATCTTGGACGGATAATTCTCATATATATTGATGTCAAGTACATGTGGTTATTTAGTAGCCTTGAGCATATAGGTTGGGCATGAAGTTGTTAGTGACGTTATATATCCCATGACCAGTCCCTATTAACCCATATGAGGGCATTGATTTTTAGTTTGTTAGTCACCTTATCAGCTCTACTCATGCCTTTAGAGATCGTGTGGTGGAGGTTTAATTTCGTGCATAGTGTGTGGAAGGGTGTTCGTGGTGCAGTTTGGATTGATTTTGAAGGCAAATATCATCGGATCCAAAGATAAATTTATTCGCAGTTCGGTTCGGTTTTGGATGACTGGTTAAAAAAACCTGATCCAATCCAATCCAATTTTATACTATTTAATTTAGATCGATTTTTTGGATATCCAAACTACAAATTATATTTTGTATTATTAAAAAATACTAATAAATATTAAGTTTGATATAATATATAACATATAATATATTAAAAAGTTAATATTACAAAATAATAATGATCTCTCATTATTGAAGTAATAAAAATAAATAAACAAAATCAAACTAATAAATAGTATTTAAAAAATAAGTATCACTTAATAATAAATTAACACAATATATCATAATAATAATAAATAAATTATATAAATATACACCTGTCATTTGGTTTGGTTTGGATCGGTTTTTAAAAATCAATCCGAAATCTAATTTGAACCGAGCAGTTGTTATAAAATGACATCCAAACACATCCAATGATTTTTGGTTTCATGAGGTTTTCGATTTTTTTTGATCGGTTTGCGATTTTTATTTGGATTGGTTTGGATTTGAACACCCCTAGTGTGTGATGGATACTTAGAGTAGTACCTTACTATATCACACCCTCACATCATCCTACATAGGCAGTATGGAGAAGATGTTGCACCTTCTCATGTTGGAGGACCTTTTAATAACGTGTCGCTGCCTCCACCGCCTTCCGATGGTGCGATTGACACTCAACGTCTGTAAATGATAGTAGTCATTATGGATAAGCTCATGGGTTTGGGAACTCAAATGATGAGGTTTATACTTTGGCATCACACGCAACACACTTAGCCCGTAGGGGTCTGTTTAGACCTTATTATCATTTTTATATTATTTGTATATTATGTGTAGTATTACTTAAACATTTTCACACAGAGTTTATTAAATAACATTTGGTATTTCCATTTGATAAACATAACTTAATATTTGATAAATAATATGACTTAGATAGATGATTAGATAACTTAACAAAGCAATAATACATAAGAAAATCTAAACACTACCAGATGATTCTGGATGTTTCAACATCTTGATTAGGTCGTTGACAGATCTAAAAATGGTCGCATCAAACTCGATCAGTCCCTTAGTTAGCCTACGGTGATATGTTATCCATATAACTTTCAACTCTTCATCACTTTTCTACTCAATACGATCGTATTTCACACTTTCATTAATATCAACCCAATGTGCAAGAAACTAGATCTTACTTGTCTTTTTGTTCTCGATGTTGGGTAACATATTATTAAACTTGGATCTCAGAAGAGCGAGATATGTGGTGTCCTTAGAGAGCCCAAACTCAATAGGAAGTTTCACTCCCATTGAAGTACACTTCTGCTTTAAACAACTAGTGAGACATTGTAAGATGTTTTTCTTAACAACACATGACTCATATTAATACAACTTCGGATTCATTCTATACCACACAAAACGGTGGGTACAATCACAATCGTACAAAAATATCGGACAAAATCTCAACCCTTGACTTTACACTACCATGTTTTTAACACAAAAATTTGGTATATGAAGGATGATTTTGAAAAAAAACTAGTACTTTTTAAACTATCTTATTTTTCAACGTTTAATAAAAAAATCTAATAAAGATAAATAATTTTTAAAAATTCGATTTGTTTCACTGCATATTGGTTTTATTTTTTAAATATTCGATATACCATTTTTTGTATTTGTACTGAATATTTTATTTATTCTATCATATTTTTTGTCGGGACTTTCTAATAAAATTTTGACATGAATAAAATGGATATTATGAAAATATGCCGGGGCTGTTTGCAGATCTAACTATGGGGTGGCAAGATAAATTATCGAAAAATGGGCTTCAAACTGTTAATGGGCCATTTGGGCCCTAAAACTAAAATCCCGTTTCACTTCACGTGTTTGGTGCCCTATGCTGCTTTTCTCACTGCATTTTCTCAGTGTTTGTTCCTTCAAACGATCGTAGCAGAAAATAATCGAACAGGTAATAATTCTGCAAAAATCTCCTCTTTCGCCTTTTTTTTTTCAACCCATTTTTCATTTAATTTTTATAGAGGTTAAAAATTGAATTTTTAGATGTAAAAGTTGTATATATTTATGATGATAAAATGGTTCTTATGAATGTTGTTTTGTTATGTGATTTTTGGGGAATTTAGGGTTTAGTGTTGAAGATGGGTAGTGTTGTTAGAGCTACATTGAAGAAATCAAACTCTAGTGTTTGTGCATTTCAGAGAAGTAATGGTTTTGTGGCTAGATTCTTCTCTACTGAAGCAGAAAATCCACCACAGGGTTCAACACCTACTTCACCTCCATTTTTGCAAACAAACAATTCAGGTATACACATTTTATGGATTTGTTTGTAGTTTCTCTGTTGTGGATAATTTGAAATTTGAAATTGAAGTTGGGTTCTTAAATTAGTTTTTGTGAAATATGAAGGGTTTCATTTGGAATAGTTATTGTTGTTTAGGGAAATTGCAATGATCTCTCAACTTATTATGCTCACATGACACCGCACACTTATTTGTTTGGAGAATTGCTCTTATTGAATGCTAAGAATCACGAAAAGTAAAAAACGTCTCCAAATTGTTGTGTCCGCTAGACACACTTTGAACATGTATATATCTTTGGTGCAGACGTCTTCGACATATACCAAGAGACTGAGCTTACACCTGTTATTGGTCACTAATAATCCTGATTAGATATTTTACTTTTCGAGACAAATAGCTAAACGATGTCTCTTATCATTTTTCTTTGAGGCTCAGTACCATAGAATTAACTAATTTTTATTAAAGACATGGTTCATCTCCTTGTCTTAGGATTATAGACTTAAGAATTTGCATTGTAAGTCATTCCATAGTCTTTGTATTCTTTTCTGTGACGGTCATTATCATTACTCTAACTTTGTTTTTAAAAGGTTAATATATTTATTTTTTTCATGATAACTACGTACACCTAAAAATTGTATGGGGTGTCCCAGTTTCCTGCATTTTGGATATTAGTTGGGTTGCAGCGTTTGTGTCATGTCTAGTGTTCGTGTTTACGGATTGAATGATACATACCTCCTTGATACAAAATAGAGGAGTGAATGTGTCGTTTATGCACTACTATTTATTAGCTTTTGGTAATACCAGATAACGCTATTCACTTTGTAGATTAAGTAGTTTTCATGCAAGTTTATGACTGCTGCTTTCTCATTCTCTGATTAGGTTTGACATATGGTAGGCTGCTCGGTGTTCATAAACATGCACTCAAAACAGATATCATCAACTTCCTTGAAGGTTCTAATTTGACTATGGAGGATGTTAAAATGGAATACACACGTAGCTTCAACCCAATTTCAATGTAATGTATTCTCTCTTTTGTTGTGCTTTGTTAGTTTTTTTTTTCATTATGTCACAAAAAGTATATGATAGGAGTTCTGTTGTTAATCGCACAATGTAGAAAATATCAGTTTGTTCATATTCTGTTATACTATAGCACCACAATAGCCTCTAGTTTACAACATTTTGTACTAAATAGCGTAATCGTTGAACAATAACGATTTGTTCAAACTCTGCTACGTTATAGCGCCGTTAACTAGATTGTGTACTTGAAGAACATAATTTAGATTGAAATTTGTGCTATCATCAGGATGTTGCAGTTCCCTACTTACAGTGCCTATGACAACGCTATTCGCATTATCGGAAGGAAGGGTCGTTTGTACAAATTGGACAGGGTATGCTATACTTTACATATAAACTCTCCTCCATTGTTCTCACTTGCAAATTTATAATTTTTGTTTTTTTCACGTGTATCAGATCGATCGATCTCAATGGGACATTGTTACTCCTTATGATGGAAGAACTGTAAGTATAAATTATTGATTGTCATTGCTAATCATATGTTTTTTGAAGTGAATACAGTTAGTTATTCTTGATGGAATCTCGTATGTTTGAAATGTCCAAACGATGAATTATTTGGTGGACTAAGATTGTGGCATGTATGTTTAGAAATTAGTTTAATATTTCTCCTTAAACCAAATATTGCTATTTAAAATTCAAGGCAATGTTGTCGATTGCGAATTGCGGAAAATAGCAGATTGTTCAAACTGTTGTGTTTATAGGGCCTCAATAGACACTATTTGACAACACTTAGTATAAAATCGTGTAATGCGGGATAATAGCAATTTGTTAAAATTTCTGCGTACAAGTATGCTATAGTCCTACAGTTCTATAGTGCCACTATATCCACTATTTGACAACATAGGTTCAATTCAAATCCTATATGATTTTGTTTTACGAGAATATTACTGTAAAAACAATGTTCTTATCTAACAGTGTCTGATTTTGCTAGATTTTAATTCAAGGACTTCCACGAAACGCACAATTTGCAGACTTGGAACAGATCATATCCGACTTTGAATACGATTCATCTTCCATCAATATATTTCTAAGGTTCACATCAAATATACATTATTTTTAAATTAGTTTGATGTTTGATTTTATGATTCTCTTGAGACAACAACACTTGGTTGTTTGTTTCAGAGCTGGAGAGGGTACAGAACCCATCAAAATGGCAACAGTGCGTTTTCATTCAAGGACACAAGCGTCGAATGCATTCATCGCAAAGAATGGGACATATTGCCTCAACAATCGCATTTCGATACATGTTCTTCAGTAAAAATACAAACCCCTGATGGTGCTGGTGTTGTAGGAGACCATTGATTTTATAGCTTAGATTAGTAAAAAATTATGCTGTTTATTTGTGATTTGCGATTTCGAAACAGCTTTTGTTTATGGTATGGTGCATGAAAATGTTTAAAATTGAGGCAAACTAGTAACCATATCTTGAATTAAAACATTTGACTAAGCAATAATTTGGTAATTGATCACATCATGTCTGTTTCAATTATGTGTAGCAATTTTATGAAATTAAGGTTTTTGCCATGATGTCATCAGTTGAACTAATTGAAAAGTGTTGAAATTAAGGTTTTTGATATTCTATATACCTAAAGATTCAGATTCATAAATGTTGGACCACAAAGAAAGCAAAGGAACTTCTATTCTTCAAAGGAGCTCAACACTTTCAACTTACAAACAACACGGCCTTAAATCTAGACATGACAATATAACCCATACCTGTGGGTGTTCGTCCCGAATTTGACGAAGAAAATCTGCTTTGACCGGATTTGGGTTTGGGTTTGAGTTTTCTTCGATTTTTAAATATGGGGACGGGGCGGGTAATGGGGACTGTAATATCCACCTCGAACCCGTCCTGTTTATTATTATTATTATTTTAAAAAAGCATAATATTTTTTATAAAATCATACATTATATTTTTAACTCTTCCACTTCTCGTTGATTAGTTGCTAATTATTAATTAGACATATACAATGGTTAATTTAAGAATTGAAGTTGAACCATTGCCGAACATACATTTACGGTTTGTATTATTTGGTTTTGCTAATTTGAAATATTAATTGTAAGATTAATGAATTAATACTTTCGTTTGTATTTTATAATTCGAAATATATGTTTGAAACTTTTTGAGATTGTATTTTATTTTTGTGATACAAGTTAATATTTCTTAAGATTGAGATTGGGTTTGGTGCGAAATTTGGGTTCGGGGCAAAATTTGGGTTTGAGGCAGGATTTGGGTTTGGGGGCGGGGAGGAAATCCCCGAACCCATTTGGGACGGGGTTGGGGTTCAATTATTCATCTCCGCTGGAGTTTGGGGCGGGGAACGGAAATTTATTTGAAATTCGGGTTTGGGAAATACAAAAACCGTCTCTGCCCCGCCCCATTGTCATCCCTACTTAAATCAAAACAACACCAACGAACAAAATTCGGGAGCGGAGTTAAACTAGTCCTACCTCTAGACATAGTGCTATGAATCCCTGCCGTCGAAATTTTAACTCAATCTAATCATCTAAAATATTACACTCCTGACACAATATGTTAAATTCGCAACATCAATTCATTTTAGTCAACAATCAATTAATCTTAAAATAAGTTAATCTCTAAACAATTGCCAAAGAGAAAATAATTTTAGAATTGACTCAACTGTTTCAACATTTTTGTTAGTCTTTTTATGTTGCATCTATGAGTGTGTCAATTTTTCCCATGTAAAAATAATGGCGATCTTTTTTTTCAAAAACTCTTAGTCTAAGATTGGATTCATCTTTCATGCAGAAGTACTACGTACTTTTATGAGAAAATAAAGTTAATTGAATATACTCCTTCCATCTCAATATAAAGTATTTTAAAATTGTTACACATAAATTAAGAAAAATAATAATAAAATAATTAAATGTAACAATTTTATAAAAATTTATGAAAAAATAAAGTTAATTGAATATACTCCTTCCATCTCAAAATAAAAGTACTTTAAAATTGTTACACATAAATTAAAAAAAATGATAAAATAATTAAATGTAACAATTTTATAAAACTGCTATTAATTATGATTGATTGTCATAAAAGTATAATGTGATGTAATATCTTAAAAGATGTGTAGATAATATTTATTATGAGTAAAGTTAGGAAAAGTTAATTATTGTTGTCTTAAAAACTAAAAGAACTCTTATTTTAGAACAAAATTCTTTGGTTATAAAGACTCTTATTTTGAAACAAGTTAGTAATTTAACTTAAATTCTTATAGTTTCAAAAGCTATAGCATTAACTTTTCACCAACCATTATAAGCTTACAAGTTTTATAAATAAGAAAGCAAAATTGATTTTAATTAAGTAGAAAACTACTATTCTGATAGGAAAAAGCTAAAGAACCATGACACCTACAATTGCATGAAAGAAGAGACCTTCATGAACTGTAGGTTGTGAGTAAAACCAGTAAAAATCACTAGAATCGCGATCAAGACTTTGTTAATGTTTTTATCTTTCAATACTACTTACAATCATATCAACACAGACAATAATATCCAAATGTTCTGTGATGTATACAATAATTAGGTAATTCGATTCTTGCAGCCTAGAATGTTATTAAGGTAAATCTTTACATTTTTTATATTATTACTATTAATACCATCCAGGTGACTAGTTCATATGGTACCTATTCTCCTTACAAGGAAAACACGTCCTCTAAAGTGCTAAGCTTCCAAATTTCTTGTTCCATTCCTCATAAGTTCCAAGTTCATTTGGTGAAACAGAAGGCCTCACCTCATTCAGGGAATTCTTGAAATCCTATAAAAATTGGAAGAAAAAAAAAACATTTTAAATTTAATAATCGATCTGAGAAATATTTTTTAAATTTCTAGGCCCTGCATGTAGCCGTATGCATACCTGAAGAGTTATTGGCCTCATATCCTCCTTTTTCAACTTTGTAATGTCTATACCTTGTCTCATTGCCTCTCTAAAGGGACCCAATGAAGCGTCCTTCACTAAGTTTGTCATGTCTGATCCTGAATAACCTGTAAAGAAAGTTACCAAGTAAAAGTAAATCACCAAACCATGAAAAAGCTGGAAAATACTGAGATTAACTGGAAAATTGTTCATACCATCAGTGATGTTACATATAATCTCCATTTCCTTGTCAGATAGATTTAATAATCCATCCTTCTCTAAAAGGCTACGTGCAATCGAACCTCTTGCCTCTAAAAGACCAAATTTATTCGTTAGATTGAGATTAAAAGGGTTTGTAGAGAGATGGAGAATCATTATTATCACCTGGGGATGGTAGAGGAATATATAGTCTTTTAGTAAGTCTCCTTCGCGCTGCTTCATCAAGCTCTTGAGGACGATTTGTTGCCCCTGTTTAATAAAATATCTATTATATGACACCTAGAACAAATTCATAACAAGACAAATCTTGGTTCCAATGCATAAAATGATACATTCATTCCATAGTATTGTATAGAAGAGTAAACCAAAGAGGTTAGAGCATGTGTGCCGCTTAAAAGCTAGCTATCAAGGGATAAGAATCAAGCCACTTAAATACTCCACCCAACATCTCATACTACTCTATATGAGGCCTTATAATACCCCACGATTACAATCACAATGTGTAGAGTTGGTTCTTAATAAATCACTTTGCATAATATGAAAGCAAATTAAACAATCATAGGCTAGTCTTTCTTATTTTGAATGCACAAACAAAACAAAAAACTAAAGTATATTAGAGTGACAGGGATCACATTAAGGCCTAATATTTTGCTTAGGTACTGGATCACATTTTTGAAATATAAAATCATACATATTGTTGAACAAAAGTCAACATTATCTAGTATCCACCAGTTAAAAGTATAACAAAGGAGACAATTAGTGCGCTAAAATGGAGTATATTAAAAAGGAAAAGTAAAAGAAATTGGGCCCAGTGGCTCAACAATTACCTATAAGCAAAATTTGCTCGTTGCCACCTTCAAAGCCTTCCATTTCAATAAGAAACTGTGTCTTTAGCCTTCTACTTGATTCATGCTCACCATCTGACTTGCGCTGCAACAAGTTACATATATTAAATGTTAGAAGTTAGAACACAGGAATTCAATATCACTTGAACACAATGATACTTGATTATCCTCACACTTAGCCATCAGAGAAGTTTTGAGAGTGAGGAAAATTAATGGATCAACAACCTATTTTCATTGAAGGAATTAAGACTTATATACAATCACTATTATAAGTCCCGCATCCGGTGGCACAACCTAATAAACTAAGGTAGTTATAACAAACTAACTACCAAAACTGAATTACCTAACTCAACATTAAACAAACAAGAGGAAATTACATGTCGTTAAATTTTTCCCTAAGATTACATGTAAAACTTCTTTAGAGATGATAATCTATTCCTTGATTATCTGAAAATTTCGACAAAATAGTTGAACATGAACCTATTACAGCAATAAATATTGATGTTGCCTTTATTGGCCATGGCATTGGCATACCTGAGACAAAAGAGAATCTATTTCATCAACAAAAATTACAGCTGGCTGACGACAACTGGCCACTCCGAAGAGTGCTCTTACCAGCTTTTCACCTTCACCAATCTGTAATTATCAGCACATATATCAGCTATTGAAAACATTGTCCATAGGACATTTAGAATTTGACGGGATCAATTCACAAGTTGAGAAAGACTGCAGAAAATCATCTCAGAAAAGATTCTAGAAAACAACACAAGATGCTTTAGGAGAAATATATCAGCAAATCTTGAAAATAAACAGCTAGAGCAAGGGCATATCAAACATACCCACTTGCTGGTCAACGAGCTTGCAGATATGTAAAAGAAGGTTGCTTTTGCCTCCCCGGCTATGGCTTTTCCTATCATTGTTTTACCGGTTCCCTAGCATTCAAAGTGTATAAGACAAATCAAATACCAGAGCCTTTGAAAATTACAACATCAGTAAGAAAAAATTGAACTTACTGGTGGACCAAATAGAAGCAGGCCTCTCCCAGGAGAACGGCAGCCTGTAAATAAGTCAGGACGTTGCAGAGGAAATACGACCATCTCATTGACACAACGTTTGGCATGTTTTAATCCAGCTACAGTTTCATTAATCAGTGAATGAGAATAAGAAGTTTTCATTAGAACTTCCAAATTGGTAAACAAAGCAGAAAGGTTAACAGCTATTTATATTACCAATGTCATCCCAGTGGACATTGGGATCTTTATCCATAATCTCGTTACTGACATGCTCAATAAGGCGAGGTTCTAAATTCCTTAATTT